GCTGGTGTGCTGGTGGTGGTGGTGGTGGTGGTGGTGGTGGTGGTGGTGGTGGTGGTGGTCGTGGTGGCAGTCGTGGTGCTGCTGGTGCTGGTGCTGGTGCTGCTGGTGCTGGTGCTGGTGCTGGTGCTGGTGCTGCTGGTGCTGGTGCTGCTGGTGCTGGTGGTGGTGGTGGTCGTGGTCGTGGTCGTGGTGGCGGTCGTGGTGGTGGCGGTGGCGGTTGTACGTAACTACGATCAGCTATGCCACTACCGACAAGCTGCATCCCACCCTGCTATCGACGGCTTACGCCACGAATGGTTGACCGGCATCTCGCAGCTTTGCCCACTCGGTGATTTCCTGAGCCTGGCCGAATACGAGTTGAAGGGCAGCTGCCAGCAGGAAGCATCTTTAACACAAAGGGCCTCGTCCCGAGAGCTATCCTCAGCAGGCCAATTTCTCCGAAGCCTCTCTCTAGCTTGCATGAAAGCTCGTCCAATTAAACCTTCAGTTCCCACCTCTCAACCAATAAACGCAACGCAAAACCCAATGCCCGCAAACCGCCCAAGATCGGCCCAACACAAAAAGCAGGCCTCCTTGGGCCCGTAAAGCATCTGCCACAGTCTCCCCAAGGAGAGACCCATCTTCTGGCATTGCGGATTTGGGGCTTGCTGGGCATGGAAAAGCTTCGTTGGCGGGGCGGTGGATTTCGAATCTGGCCCCGGGTGCTGCCTTACACGGTAGTTCGATCCCGAGCCCCCCAGGAGGAAAACGTCGCTCTCTGCAGCGGGGTAAGGGGGAGGGGGGTAAGAGACACTACAATTGGCATTATTAGACCCTGATCAATTCGTTATTAGGGGCATTAAGGCCCCCTACCCCTCTACCCGGCCCTTACCCCAAGGGTCCTTATGAAGTGTGGGATCATTAGCTGCATAAGCATACTGAAGGCAACCTAGTTTCCAGGGTTGCCCGGACCGCTACATACTGGCACATTCCAGTCGCTTGGGTTTTGGGCAATAAACCCGCGATACCCCCAACAAATAGCAATCACTTAAGACTTCTGCAGCCAGTGCCACCTCGGGCTGTTGCTGGCTATGGCTGGCCCACTGTGATGCGAGCCCCGCGGCTTCGGCAGGTTGGTAACCACATCAATCAATCGGATTGGACTCGGGCTTCCGGGCGGGTGCTACACGTGAAACCTGCATGATGACCAAAATGACGACAAGCAATTGCTGAGCCATCAGCTGGCAGAACAACGGGTCCGCAAGAACGTCCACAGTGTGCTGGCAAGTCGTTGCAGGCTTCAGACACTCACACATTCCACCGGCTGGCTGAATACTGACATCATTGACATTAAAGAATGACCAGAATGATGAAAAGCCAGCGAAACACAGAGAAAATAATGTGACTGCCCAGTGCTTCAGCCTGGGACGTATCGAAAAGAACTACTACAGCATGGACTGCATGGACTGTTTCCATCTGGCTAACCTGATATCAGGATGCTGCTAGGGCTGTCTGATCAGAATCAACACACAGGCTACCTGACCCTGCTTTGAGCCTCGCACTGGGTGTACTGAGTACCAGCTCCCTCCCCATCGACATCGCCCCCCCAGCCCGCACCCTCCAAACGCCCGTGGTTCGCTGGGAGCTGTTGTCCTGCCACATTTGGGCTTTCGATTAGGGCTCCATGCATCTGAGGATTTTACGGACAAAATTTCGAATATCTTGTCCAGAATATCAAGTCCTCCTTGCGACTACCGAATCAGGTCCAGTATAGAAGTAGTGACTTCGGACTTGAAACACGCTTGGTGCATGAGCACCACATGTTTGCGCATCTCGGAGTGTGCTGTCAAACCCCGCAAGCAATGTAAGGCAAGGGACACACAAAGCGTGCTTCAATTTTCACTTGAAGATGCTGTCCGTGAATGCCTGGAAGCTTGGAGGCTCAAGGGCACTCGCCCGGTTTAGAGACAAATTCCGTGGCATCAGGAATTCGATTCAACACCTGCCGACAGACGCGGCGCAGACCTTCTTGCAAGGCCCCCGGACTTTAAAAACACTTGACACATTGGGCGGTCCTCGTTGGCGAAAACAGCTGCGTAGCCCAGCTTGAAGCCACAGGCGTACGGCACCGGTTGAGTCACAGAGTCCTGCAAGGTGGAGAGGCGGCCATCATCTTCAGTGTCAGCACAATCGGCCTCATCACCATCAATCCACACCAGCGCCCTATCAGCCCTGCAATTCTTACTGTCATCACCAGTAGCAGGCAGACTATGTATGGTGATCTGGTTACCATCCGCACCATCACAACCACCAACACCAGCACAAACACCACCAACACCAACACCATCATCGTCATAGTCATCGTCATCATCATCACCATCACCACCACCGTCATCACCATTACCATCATCATGCTCATCGTCATCCTCAACATAATCACCATCACCACCACATCCGAGACACGTATCTTCGCTCGCCCTCATCTCCATCCACAGTCTCTTCGTCCTACTATCATTCACAGCATCATGGGCGTCGTCGCTACCTGCCATGTTCATCGGCATCACCATCATTGCCATCGCCATGATAAGCTTGATGGTGATGATGATGATGGTGATGATGATGATGGTGATGATGGTGATGATGATTATGGTGACGAAGATGACGATGATGATGACGGTGATGCTGATGCTGATGATGATGATGATGATGATGGTGATGCTGATGCTGATGCTGATGCTGCTGCTGATGGTGATGAAGAAGAAGACGATGATGGTGATGGTATGACAACTTCATCATCACCTTCTTCATCACGAAGAGGACCACTATCAGGACGATCATCAGGATCCTCCATGTGATTAGGTACGGTATCGAGATCATTCTTGGCCTCTTACTGAGCAACACAGTGGTCAGAGTCATGACACCCTTCTGATTTGGTCACGGAGAAATGTCGCACATGAAAGCGTGGAAGGCCTCACGCATGGGCCCCGAAACCTCAACTCTTTCGTAAACCCTTCGTGCAGAAAAGGCAAAGCACTCGACAACACGTCCTCACAGAAACTTTGGCATTAACAAAAACTTGAAAATGAAGCTCAAAAGTTATGAAAACCTGAAGAGTCCGCCTTACTGTTGGGAGTGTTAGACTGGAGTGCGTGTAGTTGCTATTGACACGACTGAGATGACTCCCAACATTTCTGCTAAGCTCATGCTTGTGTATATTCCGCCTGCTTGTCATTTACACTTACACATATTGTTCTCTTGCTCCCTCTCATCTCATCTCTCTTGCTTGCTTGCGTGTGGAGGGGGGAAACATCTCTCTCGCTCTCTCTCTCTCTCTCTCTCTCTGTCTCTCTCGGTGTGTCTCTGTCTCGCAGGCATTGGGCAGGTAAACCGGGCCAGTGGCCTGCCCTGCAGGGCCATCGCAGGATGTGAAAACACAGGCAGCAGCATTTAAAAAAAACACGGCAGGCGAGAGCAATGCAAACTACGATGACGAGCTGACTACAGCTCTGCTTCCTGACAGACATCGGCACACACAGCGTTCTGGGAGACTTGGCAATGCATATAGCGAGGAAAAGGCTACAGCAGCAGCTAGCAAAACAAGTTGTCCAATTGTCAAGTCCCCCTTGGCATGAGTTCCCAGTAATGTAAGCAGACATGCCAGAGCGTAACCAGGTAGAAAGACAAACTAAGGCAGCAACACGAAGCATGCAAAAGGCGGTTGCGGGCGCAATCTTCCGGCAAAAGCAGAACAAAGCACCTCGGAAAACTCAACCCTCTGTCATACTCTCGGATTCAGGGTGTGCCTCAAAACGGATGTGGAAGTTCGCGATGTTGACCTGAAAACAGCAGGCCAGGCTACGTGCATCTGCAGTCACATGCTGATTCCCACAGCCCCACAACTTGCCTTCCTTCCTTTATCCCCTGCCACATCCGTAAGCCTTTAAGCCCAAGAGCCTGGTACTGCAAAGAACCCAAACCCCCATGCCCCCCCTCATCCCGAAACCCTTAGGACTTGGACCTCTGAACCCCTGGAAACGGTTTAGAACAAGGTGCTGCATGCAGGATTCTACTCGGTCAGGAATCTCCTGTTTTCTGTTTGAAGGCTTTGACAGGGAACACTGCTCTGGCACTTTCAGTGCTACGCGTGGACCTCGGTACTTATGGAGCCTCGGGCCATGCATGAATCACCAGGTCTTGTTGCCTAACTCGACGGTCTCAGAGTGCTTGCTTAATTCGCCACCTAGATGTGAAGGATCCAAGCTGTATGATGCCCAGCTGCCTCAATCATCTCAGCCACCTTCTTCATCAGGTCCTCCCAGCTGGAAGGTGCTTGAGCCCCTGACTTGGAGATGCAGACTAAACCAAAAGGAACTGCTCGCAAAGCAAGGCCTTCGCCTTTGGATACGTCTGATTCAGCGACAGGCGTCCTGCTTGATCCTCGTCTGGATGTCACTCAACCATCCGGTCGCGGAGTCCTGGCGCCGGCAAGACAACGGGTCAAGCTCGTATCAGGCTGGCATCCGACTTTTCCTGCCGTTCCAAGATGAAGACGGCTCTGAGTGTGCTTCAACAATGCATGGGCTTGCCAGTCGCATTGCATCCACTCAATCACCGGGATTTGACGGACCACTAATTTCCTGGAATGGCAGCAGTGAAAAATCAGCCGTCACCATGAAAGCAACTTCAGCTCGAACCTCTCCAGCTCCGTGATATACATACATTCATACATTCATAAATACATACATACATTCATCCATACATCCATCCATACATCCATACATCCATCCATCCATCCTTGAATACATACATGTCTACATCCATACATACATTATATATGTATATATAAACCCTAGACCCAGGCAGCCTCGCCGGACTTTTTGGCCTTTTTGGAAGGCTTCAGCTCCTTGGGTTCGAGGAGCTTTACCAGGGCTCAGATTTGCTTCTTGGCTTTGCTGAAAGGCACAGGAGCCGCTTTGGATCTGCGGGACCCGACCTCTTCGGTGAGATAGAGCTCAACTCTTGCACACTGCCAGGGAGCCCCGAAGCCCGGACCTGAAAGAAGCCCACTGAGACAACGTATGCCGAACAGTCAGGGCACGGCGATCTTCATGATGAGGTCGACAAGCTTTGACTTGCACTGGGCCAGGGGCAATTTATTGTATCAACGACTGAACCAGGGTCGTATCTCCAGGTTCTAGTCATGTGCAGTATTTCTTCCAGGATATCGAAGGCCGACATCTATGCTTGCTTACACACACTGGCTGCCCCAAGTGGATACGTGTCTGGGTGGTTGCGGAGCAACCAGTTCCAAACCACGTGCTTCGGGGGGTGGACGGAAAGTTATGTCAGCATGTCTAAATCTCACATAACCCAAACCCTCTGGATTCCGAGATTGCCTTAGGCAAGGTACAACTCACTTCTGCTCGCCGCTATGTGCATGAGTTCTAGACATACGTACATGACACCGGACAACATGCGCAATTGCCTTCCACACATCCTCAACTGCAGATCCTTAAGCCTTCACAGGGCCCTGCCTGCATGACATGTGCCCAACTCCAATCCGTCGTATGCGGCCCGAAAACGAAGAAAACGTTTCGGATCAGGATCTGTAGGGAGACCTCGGGCAGCTCATGCACAGTTTCAGGCTCAGCGCAGTGTCATGGTCAAATCGTGCGAACACGTCATAAATTGACAGGCCCACACCCCGAGTTCCCCTGCATCGACCACCCAGACCTTGTCCCTGTTTCTGGTGAGCCTTTTCCTGGAATTCCTTGGCCTATTGCCAACAGGATCATGGCTAATGAACTCATCTAGGGTTTATGACTTTTCGGACTTGGTGGGTTTTGGGGAACCGGCAAAGTCGCCGCTAACAACGGCTTGCCAAGCTGAAAGTCAAACGAATGAACTGCAAAGCCAGACATGGAACTTCAACGAAGGCTTGGGAAGCCAGACACGCAACACGCAGCTCTGAACCTACCCTTGGAACTGCTGCACCATCACAGTGGAAAATTGGACAAACAGAACTACAACGATCAATCATTCCATGATGTTCAGACCAATCGCTTCAATCCTGGAGTGTCAATGACACAAGACAAGTAAGGCATGACGTTTGCAAACGCCGGAATGTCAGCGCGAAGCTTCGTGAAACTTGATCTGCCTTCCCGTTTGAACAAGAGACACGTTAAAACTTAGCCGCGCTAGAGAACTCGAGATACAACGCGGCACAGTCTCTGAAAAAACTTTGCTCAGTCTTGAACCGTTGACAAACATGGACGATCAGGACAAAACCACTGCCGGCATGCTGGCACCGGCGTCAGACCGACACGTGCTGAAAATCCAAATCCACAGTACTGGTCACGAGCCTTGCGGGAAATACACACACACATAACCTAATCCCAAAGAGCTTGGCTTCGTACACAGCCATTGCAATACTGTGCCCTGCCGCTCTGTCGCGTGCATGGTGTCTGCACACGTCGCAATTACATGCTTCGAAAATTGTTGACCCTCGCATGCAGAATCGAAGGGAGACACAAAATCCTGTTAAGCATTGCCCTCGATGGGTGCCTAATGGTCGAATATAAAGGCTCGGAAACAAAGTCGTTCGAGTATAAGATTTGCGTCAAGTCCTGACATGAGCGAAAACGAGCCTAAATCACTGGGCACCGCACAGATCCTCCCGGGTTGAAGACGTCCAGATGCAAGTTCACGGACCTCTGGGACTCTGGGGTATTTCTGAACGTTTTCAGGTTTGCGCCACCAGAGATACAAACCCTTTACTTAAGGCGTGACTTTGCTTTCGGAGCTCTTCTGGTCTTGGATTTGACGGTTGCTGGGCATGGTGCAGGTACATTCCTAGGCCCTCACGGTGTTAGTGTTCTGGTTCCTGTTATTGTTGCGGTAGCTGCTGACGTCTGGTTACTATTGTTGTGGTTGTTGCTGTGGTTGCTGTTGCTGATGCTGTTGCGATTACAATGGCTGTCGCTCTGGCCGTTGCTGCTGCTGTTGCTGTTGCTGATGCTGCCGTTGGCGTTGTTGATATTCTTACTTTTGTTCGTCTTGTCATCGTTATCGTTGTCGTTGTTGTCTGTGGTCGTCGTTGTGGTTGTGGTTGTTCTTCTTCTTCGTTTTAGTATTATTATTTTTGTTATTCTTCTTGTTATGGTCCTTGTCCTTGTTATTGTTCAATTGTTCTAGTTCTTGGTCTTGGTCTTGTGGCTGCGGTCTTGGTCTTGATCTCGGTCCTGGTCTTGGTCTTGGTGCTGGTGCTGTCGTCGCTACTGCTGCTGCTACTACTACTACTACTACTACTACTACTACTCCTGCTGCTCCTGCTACTGCTACTCTACTACTACGTATACGTATACGTATGCGTACTACTACGTATACGTACTACTACGTACTACTACGTACTACTACGTTACTACGTACTACTACGTACTACTACTGCTACTGCTGCTGCTGCTGCTGCTGCTGCGGCTGCTGCTGCTGCTACTACTACTACTACTACTACTACTACTACTACTACTAATCCTCTTCCTTTTCCTACCCCCACTCCTCATGATGCTGCTGCTACTGCTAAAGCAGTTGTGCTCGTGGCTGTTGTTGTAGCTGTTCCAGCTGTATGTGATGATAGCTGCGGAAAAAATCTTGCAAACAGCATGCATAGTCGCAAATGCTGCCGCCGACCCCCCACCACCCCCTGACGTATACCTACACCTAAACCGTAGACCTATGTGTAAATTGATGCACAGATGCACACGTACACGTATACAAGCGATGATCACACTCACAGTAACATGTCCATTCACCAGCGAGGAGCGACAGATCTGCTTCCCGATTATCAAAGCCCTCCTTAAAGGATTCAACTCAGACTTCCAGAAGCTTCAGACGAAGGCTGCAAAGCAATGGAAACCATCGCAAGACTAGTGACTGGTGGTGATAACTACAGTGACCTAGACGGCAATAAGCATGCGCGAAGAGCCCGAACGATGAACATCACCTAGCACTCCATGTTCGGAGGAAAAAGAGGACAGTTTGCAAAATGGATGAGGGAGTAGCAAGAGTCATAGGAAGAGGAAGAAGCTGGCATGATCTGGGCCCGCTGGCAGTTCGTCGATAAATCCACCGCGCAATGCTACTGGAAGGTGTAGTCCGTCGAAGGCCTTGCTTTGCTTATTCATCTGAGGGCCTTTTTTTACCGGCTATGTTGTAGGCCGTGATCAGAGGCCTTGCGGGTGTAGGGTTTTGGGCCAGGGGTGTTCAGCTTCCTCGGGTTTTGCGGTCTGTGAATTACCGTTGGGTGGGTTGTGGTGGTGTGGAAGGCATGCTCTGGAGCACTCATCAGGCACGGTGTTGTTCAAGGCGTTCAAGGTTCGAATGTAGCAGCGCCAAGATCTGATCGCTACAGGATTCTGGGACTGGGGTGCCTTGCAGGCCCACTTCAAAGGTCCGCAACAGGAAGGTCGCCCTCAGCTTTCGGCTTTTAGGATCGTGCTATTTCCAATCAATTCCACTGCTCTTGACAAGCACAGCCACTTCAAGCTGTGGGTTTACAACATCTCGAGAACATCTGGAGGCTTGGAAGATCGCGTATCAGGGAAAATGCCGTTGCCACAATCTGGCTGCACGGCCAGTAGAGAACAGGCCCCGAAGCAATCCCTAATACCAAACCATGTGCCCAAGATCAACCCGAGGGACGGAGCCGTCGATGGATGCCTTCGAAGACTCGGTGATTTCGAATAGGTAGGTCACAACCAGCTCACAAAGCAGGTTGGCTTCAGTGTCAACAATTGAAACAGGTCAAACTCAGATGATGTGCTGGGATAGTTTAGGTGGCTCTGGGATTGCGTATGGTTCGCTACGTATAACTTGAACTGAATTTGGATTCCACCCTGGTTCGAACGGCCAGGTCAGGGGCACGAGTGAGACCCGGCTTAGGCTAGAGTCGTGCTGACGAAGGAGTTGCTTCAATGGCTTTCTAGGGCTAGCTAACGACAAAAGTACCGAAAAGATCAACGTTGTGTCTTGTTTTACATGATACATATATATATATATAT